CGCCGCTCCGCCCGAGCGCAGCGCAGCGCCGGGCTGGAGCAGACTGCGGGAACCCGGAAGTAGTGGTGGCCATAACAGGTCGCGTCTTACACAATGCGCTGGGCGGCAGCAACTCCGCCACCGGCGCAGGGGGGCGCGCCGCCCGCCCCGCGCCCGCGCAGCGCCGCGGCTTGGACACACCGCCCCCTCCCGGCTCTGCCCTCCGCGCCCCCCCGCGCGCGCGCGGACGCCGCGTCCGCCCCCCCCCGGCGGCCGCGGGGGCGCTCCCGTCGCCTTTGTCTGGCGGCGCCGCCGCCCCGCGCAGCGCCCGCGCAGCGCCCCGGGGTCGCGCCGCCGCCTGCCCCTCGCTTCGTCGCCCGCCTCGCCGGGCGCCCCCCCCTCCCCGGCGGCTCCCCCCGCGGCCGCCGGCCGAGTGAGCTCACCCGGCCCCCGGCCGCCGCCGCCGCGCCGCCGCCGACCAATCAGCGCCGCGCCGCCCCGCGCCTCGCCCCCATTGGTCCGGGCGGGAAGCGGGGCTCGGACCGGCGCGGGGGGGGTGGTGGCGCCCCCGGTCCCTGTCCCCGTCCCTGTCCCCGTCCCCGGCCTTCCCCATCCTTATGCCCATCCCTATCCCCATCCCTTCCGCCGAGCTCCGCCGGCGAGCTGTCCTGCGCGGCGCGATCCCCCCCGCCGGTGCCTCCATCCGCCGGTGCGGGCGTCCGCTCCCCTCCGTTCAAAAGCACAGCCATCCCTCCCCGCAGCCCCGCCGGTCCCCGCCGGCCTGGGAGCGGAGAAGTCGCCGTGCCCCTTCCTCACCTACCTGCGGGCCGGGCTGCGCCGAGCCCCGAGCGGGCGCTTGCAGGGACAGCTGCCCCGACACTACCGCATCTTCCGCCCAGCAGCGGGGCGGGAGACGGAGCCCCCGGTACAGAGGTCCCGACTGAGCTGCTGAGGGGAACGGGGAAGTGACGGGGGGGTTCCTCTGGTAAATCCCCTGGGGCAGACGGGACGCTGCTCCGCTGCTGCCGGACCCCGGGGGCGGCGGGGAGCGGCTCGGCCCCCGCCGCCACGTCTCAAACTTCGGGGAAACGCGTTTCGATCCCCCCCTCCCGCCCCTTTTCCGCTAGGACCGGCTTTTAATCCCGGCGAGAGAAATGCGGAGCTCTCAGGTAAGACCCGTTTTCATGCGCTGACCCGCACCCACCCACCCGAGCCACGCGCGTGGGGCTCATTTCTCTGGCGATTTCCCCGGGGAAAGCGCTCGGTAACGATTCCCCATCGCAGCGGTCCTTGCAGGGGGTGGCTGTGACCCAGCTCCCAGGGACGTGTTTCCTCCTCTTCCCATCCTCTTTTCCTTCCCTCCCCCCAATGAAAAAAAAAAAAAAAGAAAACAAACAAACAAACAAAAAAAAAAAAAAACCCAACCAAAAGACCCTTTTTCAGCGTCTCCACTAGGCCTTTATGAGCTTAATTCAGCGCAACTCAGACCGAAACACTTTTACAATGTAATTACAGCCCTACAAATTGTTTGCCCAAACCTCATCCTGGATAAGGATTTTACAATTAGCAAACAGTTATTACACTTAGGGCTCGCTGTGAGGAACTACTCAGCTCGCCTCTCCGCCTGTGAGAGGCCGGCCAGAAAAAAGAAAGAAAACTGAAGAAAAAAAAAAAAAAAAAAAAAGAGGGTTAATCCGGACAGCAATTAATCATCTATTGAACGGGAAAAAGTAAACGGCCAGCTCCGCGCTATCCCGGTAAACTCCTGCCGCGGCGGATGCGCTGTGCTGCAGCGGGACCCGCGCAGCATCTCGCCCAGCCGCCTTTTTAGGAAAGCAACTCTGTTTGGGCTTTTTGTTGTGTTTTTTTTTCTTTCCTCCAAAAACTTGCTGGTTTGCGGGAATCTATTGAAGCCTGTCCGTCGCCTGGTGGAAAGGGTGAGGGGTGGGGGGAAATACGGGCAGGGGGAGAACAGCGAGGAGAAAGCGAGGGGCTCCGGTGGGTGCGGCGGGCCGGGCAGCGGCTGCGGGGCGCGGAGCGGCTCCCCCAGACCGCGGCCGGGCCCTTGGCGAGGGGATCCGCCGAGCCGGAGCAAAAAAGGCGTCTGGGGAGCAAGGGAGCCTCCTCCACAAGGTGGAATCTGGGTCCATTTGCTTATCGGATAATAAATGAGGCTTTTAATCAGGCTGAATTTCCCAGCTTAAGGAAAGAATTAGTCATACCTAGGAACAATCAAATGGTTTCTAGCTGGCTTCCCTGCCGCCTTCCTAGCAGGGATTTTGGGGGGGGGGGGGGTGAACGGGGGGAGAATTAGCATCTAAGTGTGCTCTTTCACCATTAATACTGAAATTTGAAAACTGAAATAGGAACAACCAGAAAGGCGAAACAAACAAGAAACCGCAGAAGAAAGCATTGGAAAGGCGGCCGGGAGATAATCCAGGAATGCTTCAGATAAGAAAGGGGGGGACTATACGTGCGGAGATACCCGAAAAGTCAGAGTCTGATGGAAAGGCTGAAAGAGGGACGGGGGGGTCGGGGGGAAACCCGCACTTGTTTAGAGCCTATTAAAGGTCACACCGGGCTGGGGGGTGGGGTGCGGGTGATGATAAAAGGAGTTTAAGAACGAAGGGTTTAAGCGCGCAGATGAAGCGCAGCGCCAGGATTTGGAGGGTTTGTTTACTGGCTCCCGATGCAGAAACCAAAAGAGCGGCGGGTCCGTGCGGAGAGCGAGCCCGGGGTCAGCCGGGGCTGCCCTGCGCCCAGCCCGGGCCCCGGGAGCCGCGGCGGCGCCCCGGGATGCGCGGGGCCGGGAACCGGAGCTGCCCGCTGCCCCACGGCCGGGCCTGACGCTGGCACAAGTTACGGAGGCGTTTGATTAATCAAATGGAGGGCTTCATAAAATATTTCCTAATAAAATTTACGGTTGTCTTAAAAGTTTCCAACAGCGCTATCTTTTTTTTTTTTTTTTTTCCCTTAAATAAAATTAACTGGGAAATGAGTTACTGGCCGGAATTTTCGAGACTTCAACGGTGGCAGCAGTGCCGGCGGCGGGAGCGAAGGCACCCGCACACAAAAGGAGCCTTTCAGGGACAAAAGTTGCGACGGCTGCCAGGTTTTCCCCGCGATGGCACCTCGGGGTAGCCCGGGCAAGGCAGCGCAGAGCCGACCAGAGCCTTGTACTTCCTATTTCACATTACAAATAGAACATTTCAGCCTAAAATCCGTAGACTAACCCCTGAGCTGGTAACAGCTCGTGTTGGGGTTGTCGAAGGGGTTTTTTTCTTGCGCGATTTGGGTTCTACGAGTTCATTTGGGTTAATTTGGAAACGCCGCTCCACGCCGGGGTTCGCGACGATCCCTGCCTTTAGCCCATTCGCCCCCGGCACTCCTGTACTCCTGCTTATGCCGAACCCTCTTTCTTTCCTGTCGGTATTCCTATATTTCTCGTTGAATTAAATAATAATAACAGTAAAAGAAATTGCTAGATAAAACTGTGGCTGCTTAATTAAAAAAAAAAAAAAAAAAAAAAAAAAAAGAAAGAAAAAGAAAAGCCGCTGGGCTGCTCTGCATCCCAAGGATTGAGCTGTTGTGCCGTCTGCTGGGAGACGGGGAAACTACAGCCAGAAACGCTTCCAAATTTTCTGTGAGAGGAAAGTCCAGTTTTTGGCAATTTGAAGGGGTCGGAGACGCCCAACTCCTCAGTAGAAGAATAGCGACCCGAGACAGAAAACTCGTAGAGACATTTATTTTTTCCTTAGGCTACATCTGTATAATTGCATAAAAACTCCACTCTTTAGCGTTTAGGATTTTACTGACTGCAGACCGTGGAGCAATGATATGGTGAAGATGGTTTGAGTTTACCCGCGAGAGGCAGCTGGACATTAGCTAAATATGTAGGAAAGAAGATTTTTATATATGTATTTTTTTAAGAAGGGGAAAATATTTGCGAATGGTTTAAAAACTTCTCCCCCCGCGACCAGCCGGCTGTAGCCTGCGGGCAGAGGGAGATCCCAATTGGGGCAGCTCCCACCCCGATGATGCTCTCGGAGGGCAGCGGAGGCAATCGCTCTGATGCCAGCCCTTGGTGGAGCAGCAGAAGGGGAGTTTACCCCGGCCCAGCGCTAGTCTCGGTTTAGAGGAAGCCCGGACGTTGCTGTTCTAAGTTCCCGAAGCTTTGCCCGTGCCCGAGCCGCGGGTGCTCCCAGGCAGATGCAGTCTGGCTGGGTCATTTCCCTCTCCCCTCTCCCTGCCCACTTGCTTCTCCGCTCCCGTGGCGCCTGGAATGCTCTCCTCAAAAATACAAAGCGCAAGAAGAGATTTTAAAAAGACGGGGGGGAAAGCTTTTGGGTTTTTTTTTTAAACCCCAAACCCCAAACTTCCAACATGAACTCTTGACTTTTATGAGGCGAGAGCCGCCGAAGGGCTGTGAAATGCAAAGTCTTTGTCGTATTTACAGGCAGTGTCAGAAGACGGCTGGACACGCAGATAAAAATCTAGTGGTCTGTGTGAACTCCAAGGAATGTTTTAAAGCGAGGATCTCTAAGCGCCTATTCTCAGTCCACACATATGCCCGCACGTAGCCTACAAAGACGGAGACACCCACGTAGCCGAACAATAGTGGGGATTTCTTTTAATAGGTTAAATGAAGGTATAGGGAAATCCTCCTGCCACTTGTGGCACACCAGCTCCGACTGCTCTTTGCCTTCAGAGCCACTTGCTAGAGTTCAACAGAGGGTGACATTAGCCTAAAATATTCGATACTTTTTCCTTTCTCCTGAAGACTTTTCCCACTGCTTCTGGGCTAAATTCAGCTCCCGGTTCATCTCTGCGGGTAAAATTGCTGTCTTTGAAAGAAACAAAAATCTGCCTGATCTTTTTAGTTTTATTTTATTTTAATCAAGAAGGTATTACAGATACTTTCCTCAGCGTACATAAACCAGAAATTAAATGATTGTGTCCCTGGTGTAAGAAGCCTAAGGACACCTTCTAAAAAGTTGAACGAAGTATTTTACCCTTTTAAATGAGACCAAAAAAACTTGCAAGACTGTACAAGAAGCAAATTAGCGAGTAACAAAATAAAATCTCAATTTGAAGCGACATAGAATTGAATATTTGTGTCTGACAGTACCTCGGCTGAACTAGAGCAAAGCGGAGTTTTGTCAGAGCTTTTCGATTTGATGTTTCCCTCCAAACTAATTTTCACTATTACTCCATTCCTATTACCTAAGTCCATCTGCAGCTCGGCTAATGAGCCCATTTAGTGCACGAGTTCGGCGTGCCTCTGATGCCGATCGCAGAGGATGGGCACTCCTCAGAGCGGGGATCCGGGGCTGTTCAGCCCGGTGGGATGGGATGGGAAGGGATGGGAGGGAACCCGGGGCTCTCTGCAGGCTCGGAACTCTCGCAGGGGGCTTCCCGCAAACGACACCATCTAGGAAAAATCGAACGCGAATTAATTACGCTTTATAAATCAGAAAAACAAAGGAAAACAAGGAGCGAAGCCCTGTGCCCGGAGCGCGGTGCGGGACGGTCCCGGATCCCCGGGCACCGAGCTGTGCGGGGCTGGGCGGGCAGGGAGCGCCTCAGGGGTCCTGCGACCCCGGCCCGAGAGTGCCCGCGGTCCCCCAGGACAGCTCCGAGCGTGCTATCTGCATCAGGGGGTGTATTATCACAGGCTTTTGCATAATTGCATATTGACTTTACTAAATGGATCTGCGGAGCTATTTAAACATCCCTCTCTTCCACCCGCAAACAATTCTCTCGGCAAGAAAGAAAAAAAATAATGCGGGAGTGGGGGGGGGAGCTGCAAAAGAGTTTCCAATTGCTCTTGCTCCTTCATTTTGTAGCGTTTCTTTGGGCACAAGTGGCTCAACTCTCTAAGTACTTTGGATCCAGTTTGGTGCACAAGAGTGCAGGGAAGCAGAGAGGATTCTCAGCCGCGTGGGCGACAGCAGGATGGGTAGCCGTCACTCACTTTGGGGTCTGAGAGGTGGCTGCATGGATATATGTGTCTCTTTGAACTCCCGTGGACAATTTCTGGCCAGCTGTGATGGCTGTGAGAAAAGCCTCCATGGGTACATGTCCGTGCATGCACAACGAAGGACTGCTCTAAGGACAACATAGGAAAAGCCTTCCTTGTTAAAAATCTCCTTTTTAAAACCTCCCTTAGGGCAGGGGAGCTCCAACGTGGCACTCCCCTTTCCCGACACCTCACAGCAGTGCCCCACAAGCCATATCAGCCCCAAAGCAGACAGCTGGACTTTGCGTCCCAGAATAGGTGTGCTCATCCCACTGTCACCCCTCTCCATCCTGCACGGGCAGCTGCCCTCACCCCTGAGCCTTGTAGGGGAAGGCAGCCTCCTCCCTCACCAAGGCTGGGTTCCCAAGGCAGCAGCTGTCAGGAGCAGGCAGGGAAGGGGGGAAAAAGTGAAGGAGAGAAGGAGGGGAAGTGGGGAGGGAGGCAGTGAAAGCTGCACTTTCCTCCAAGCAGAACAAGCATCCCCTCGGAGGGGCCCCAGAGCCAGGAGCTGCCTCCAGAGCCCTGGGCCTCCCACCAGGCAGCAGCAGCAGCATCTCCCCCTCCAGAGCCCTGCAGCCATGGAGGCAGCAGCCTCCCATCCTGGCTTGGCCCCTGAACTCCCCATGCTGGCCTTGCAGGCACTGGTTTCAGACAACAAACTCCAATGATCTCGGGATTCTGAGCATCCTTCATAATGGCATGATGGTAAGAGTCACCTTCTGTGGCTTGGTTCAAGGGTTCATATGAAAGGTCTGCTGGGATCTGCAGCTCCCAAGAGGAAACTGCAGTCAGAATAATCCACCAAGATTTATTAAGAGAATGTTTGCTTCCAGCTTACCACGCTAGGGCACTATTTTTACCTTGAGGATGCTAGCTTTGCTTGAAAAGCTGTAATTACACTTTGAAAAAATGCTTTCCTGCTCTTATCCTCAACTTAGTTGTGGGAAGAAGACATGAAATCAGGTAGACATCCAGACTTTGGAAAGTACTTTTTACGTGGAACCAAAGAAACATCTCATAAAATCATCAACTCGGCTCTCCTGCAATGATATTTCCTTGCATTTATCAGAAATTTAGATCAATTGAGTACTCTCTCTATTAGCTAAGAGGGCTTTGAGGAGGACTATCACACATTCAACATTTAAGTTCAAATTTCTAAAGGTATTTTGTCTCTTCTCTCGACACAACAGTGATCACAGTCCGTTGCAAATTTGGCACCTAATTTCTGCAAGAGATATAGACCATCTTCAGTGAACTCAGGTCATTAAGTCCCATTTTAGGAGCTGCCTACCAGCCAACTCATTGCAAGTCACTGGGATTAAGTTCCTAAGTCACATTTTGAGAAGGGCTGTATCTGAGGGCAGATATGCATCCCAGCACACATAGACATGACCAAAGTAGCTCTGAATCCCACTGTGGTGGAGCTAATTAAAGCATGTCAGAAGGCTCTACCCACCAAAGCAGTTCCCCGGGGATTTTGGGGACACTGAATTCTTTGCCTCACCCCTTTCTTGCCTCAAAACACTACTTTTATGACTGTGCAGATGCAAACACGATCAGAATAGAGTCAAGTTTATGAGGTACCATGCAGATGCACTAAACTGTTTATCACTTCAGTCCCCCTCTCCATTTCTAACATCTCTTTCAGTTTGATCTTCCACAAGTGCATCCCCAGAAACAGGACCACTCACCCAAATAATACATGACAGCTCGTGGTTTAGGGGGTGCCACTGGAGCAGCTGAACATCTTATAAGCATAGGTGCTTGCCAGGAAATCCTCATTCCATGACAGAACACTTGAAATACAGAAAGTTTTCAAGGGCCTCAACAAAAAAAAAACGTGATGGTGCAAGAAGCAAAGGCGAGATGCTTTGCCTCTTGGGCCTCTGCTGGAAGACAAGCTGTTCCCACCGCTCTCTTCATTAACTCATAAACTTTTTTAAACTCAGAAACTTTGGACCTTACCCAGATCTCTTCCCCCCCCCCCAGAATATCTTGCTTTAAATTATTTTTCCAATATCATCCAAGATCATATTTTTCCTTTTATGTTTCCAAGTTGAAGTTTATTATAGTTGTCTACACCGCTGATCAGTTGTAACCCTTTCTATTATTTTCCTGTCCTTGCCACTATTTGAAACACTTCTTACTTGGATCACCTTCAAATTCTATTACTGTACTGCTCACCTCATTTTTGTACCAAGCCCATTCTGCCTAGCATTTATTGTCACCAAACTCGAGGACACAGCTGGTCCCTCTCCTCTGCTGCACAGCACCACCAGATCCACTTTTTATTCCATTCTTTTCCATACACAGTTTGCCTCTCTGCTGATGGAGAGACCCTTGCTGGGTTTAGCCAGTGCCAGCCACATTGTCCTTACCATTAGTGTTACATTTCTAGTTATTCTTGCTTCTTCCCAAAGCCTTTGAAGTCGTGTAGAGACAATTTGATTCATTAGTACACTCAGCCTTGCAGTAACTCTAGCTCCTGCTTTAGTTTCTCTATTAGAAGCACATGTTGGGTCTGTAACTTGAGGGAAAGCTCCACCCTCTGACTTCCCCATACAGTTCAAATTCTGCTCTGCCTTGCTGAGCTCGAAGGACTGGTGACTTTCTGCCTGGGGTTTCCATACCTGGGAACGCCACCTCCTCCTCTTCCTCCCTCCCTACTGGTGTGACAACTTGTGGGCAATATGCTTTCTCTTTCTGAGTGTCTCCACGCTAGAGACTTTTGCAGCAGTTCCATGTATTTGCAGTTCTCTTCACATTTTTTCGGAAGAGCTGCAATTATCCCAAATATTTCCTTACTGGATTCATGTAGGCTGAGATCCATCAGCAGCACTTCACTAGACATGCTTATGTCACCTTCACTGTCCTTGTTGGGTCAGGAGATAGGTAACCACCTCATTTCTTCTTCTGGCCTTTGGGATGCAGGGCCAGGCTCCTCCCTGAGGGATCACTTGAAAGAATCTCTTGCCTTCTTGACTCAGGTGACTCCTCCCAGAACTATGTGCCACATTGTACTCTCCAAAAGTGGCAGTGTTGGCACCAAGAATATAAAGTGACACCTGCTTGGTAACCTACTAGTCTGCCCTGCTGCTGTGCTATGTCCCACAGAGGGGTTTCACCTCCACTGATTCCTTTTTCACTGCCCAATGGGTTTGTGAGTTCCTCCAAACACACGCCAAGACCATCACAAACAACCACTAGCTCTCAGAGGAACTTTACCTCATAAATGTGTTAAAAACCCCCAGTGTTTCAAGTAAGAGACCTCCTAAGAAACTCCATCAAGGGACCACTTGCTGCTCTGAGCATGTAGTTTATTCCATTCCCTCTTTCCACTTTCCAATGCTTTTCATAAAGTTCTTCTTACCTGCCTGTCTCTTAATATAGATTTTGTTTAGGATGCCAAGCCAGTCTGCCTCATGTTTTCCCTTGGATCTGTTCCCTACTTCTTGCCAAGGTTGCCTGTGGATCCTGCTTTGAAGTTCTTCTGTGACACATTTTCTGCCACTGTTGACTCTTCCCTTGGCTGACATCACCTAGGGGGTCCCTCTCCAGCAGGCTGAGAATCACACTGCTTCTTTGATCAAAATGAAATCCATTTACAAGTGCCCAATGAGCTGGCACAAACAGACCCACAGGTTTCTAGACAAAACTAGCTGACATAAAAAATATGCCAGTTTTAACTTCAGCTGAATTCTTAACCTAGCTAAGGTGAACCCACAATTAAAAAAATAAAGAAAGAAAGAAAGAAAGAAAAAATTCATTTTATGAGCACTTTCTGTTTGCTTAGCTCAAATTAATCCTTCATCATCAAAATTGATGTTGAAATCAGGTTAAATCAAAGTGTCCATACAGCAGTTTATCTCTGCATTTTAGACACTGAACCTAAAATTACACTTCAAATAATTTTTATGCTTGGAAAAGGCCTGTTTCTAGAGACCAGCTGGGCCCTGATTATGAATGGTGCTCAGCTCCAGCAGGTCTGGGTGAAGAGAGCAGAAGCAGATGGATCTCAGTGATGCTGGGAATCAGACTCAGTCTCAGCACCTACGGCAATTCAGCCTGCACATCCTCCAACCCCCAACAAAACCCAGCGCTCAATGGCTGCTCCAAGGAGCTGAAGTGGGCAGTCTTCATGTTAGAACAGTTCATTTTTCTTTAATATTATATCTTGAGACTCTGTATGTGTTTGTGAAGGTATTTTCCTGAATAAGCACAGCAGTTGTCTAGCATAAAAATGAGGGGTTTCAGTCCAAAACTTTATCTCCACATAACTAAGTTTTTCCCTTTCATGTACTTATAACTATTGATGGTTATGTCAAATCATCTTCAAAGGAAGGAAGGAAGGAAAGTAGGAGGAGAGTTTTTGCAGCCAGCTGACTTTGTGCAATCCATGTTTTCTTTAAAAC